CGAGGGCTGCTGGGGTGCACGTGGGTCCTGCACTGCATTGCCGTGGGTCTCTGCTACCGGGGCTGGCCTGGTTGGGTTCCGTTTCAATTTCCACTGTGCACTCTCTCTCTAAATTCGGGACCCGTTGGCCACCAGGTCACGAGGGGAGGTGCGAGAAACAGCGAAAGCTGGATTTCCATGAGTAGGTTTACGAAGAGACAGCTCTCTCTGGAGAGGCAGGATCGTAGGCAGTAAGACACAGGACTCAGCTCAGTCAGTGGTACAGCCCCTTTATTCAGTGACTCAGCTCGGCTCCAAGTCTTAGTGATCCAGCTCTGATTAATTGGGGGAAACCAGGATATTTTATACTGTGGGGGCAGTGGTAAAAGCCTTAGCTGATAGGTACTTTTAGGATGCATCATTTACATGTGGTGGTGGGCTCCTGCCAGGCTGCCAGATTGCCTGAAAATCACACAGGAAAACCAGAGCCGGAGGCCATGGCTACTTCAAAAGATGAGTCAGGAAGATGCCAGGAAGGCACCCTGCTGATAAAAGGAGTCTTTGCATATGAAGCCAAGCCCATAGGCTATCCGGATATGGAGAGACTGCTACTTTACACAACAGGGGTCCCCAACACCACACCCCTGTCACCTGCTTTATATGGATCTCCTAGCCTGGGAGCTACCACTGATCTGTCCTGATCAGCCAGACACCAGAAAACTGGGTACAGTCTCTATATCCCATAAGCCCCTGAACTAACACAACTAGCCAAGCCTACATCACTTTTCTCTGCCTCCTCTCCTCTCTCTAAGATAAGCCACAAGAAAGCCTTTTCCATCAGCTTGACTTCTGCCTCAGCTCCTGACTGACCCCAATGCTTGCCCCTCTGCTCTACTCCATTGATGAACTCCCTATCCTTGGGAACTCTGAGTAACAAACTATCTTTTCAACACCCAACAGCCCTTGGTATGATTTTACTTGTCAACTTTCTGCTAATATACTCTATTTAAAAAAATATTTTATTATTTTCATTTTGTGGGTATGATTACATTACCTGCATGTATGTAAGTGCACCCATGTAATGCAATGCCTGCAGAGGTCAGAAGAGGGAATTGGATCCCCTGGAACTGGAGTTATAGATGGTTGTTAACTACCAGTGGGTGCTGGGCTTAGAACCTGGGTCCTCTGCAAGACCAGTCAGTGCTCTTAACCACTAAGCCATCTCTCCAGTCCTCTTTATATATATGCCACTTTAAATCCACCCTTTTACTATATCTCCTCTAGACCAGTGACTGTCCTAAGTGCTGTGGAAACGTACACCCATTTCTCCCTCATGCAACCCAGTGAGAAAGGCTCAGACACTGCAAAAATAAGATCCTCACTCAAGAACACACAGTTCTAGAGTACTGAGATAGGATTTCCCACTACAGTCTGTGTCTTGAATTCATGCTTTCAGTATTTTAGTAAACCTTTCTCCATGTGCTCTCAAGACCTGGACTAAGAATCACAAGGAAAATAAAAGGAGCTTCTTTAACTCCTCCTATTGAGGCATGAGAGTGTCCTGTTGCTCTCCTGTGTCTGACATCTGCATTTGGGGTCTTAGCGTGCTTATACTTGCCTCTCTCTATGGGAAGCTGGAATTTGCTTTTGGGCTGCTCCAAGTTCTGGTCCGTGTAAAGAGGATGAAAACCTCTTAGCAAAACTAGACCTGTTATGCCATTTCCCTGAATGTATCTCCACTCACCTATGCCCTGGACAAGGAATTTCAAATGTCCACCCAAATATTTGTATCCCAGAAGGACTGACCCCAAGTCATACAAGCAGTGAAAGAGATCAGGACCCAAACACATAGCCACATTGTAGAAGGACAGTAGCTCTGTAACTCGGTGAAGTTTGCTATTTGAAGAGAATGCAATGATCCTGCCCCAGAGCTGTAGACACACCACTCAAGTCCTGCCAACTGAGCCCATTTACATGACTAACATAATAAAATAAAATAAAATAAATAAATAAATACATAAATAAAAACCTTACAAAGAGTTCTCTGAATGCCTTCTGGAACCTTTAAGCCACACCCAACCAGGGCTTACTGTCTCTTAGATTTGAACAGTCATTGCCCAACTTTCAGATTACAGGGGTCCAGAAACTAACACAACTTGTTACATAACAGGTTTCTCCCTGTTTGCTCTGTCCTCAATGTGCTATGAGCTTCCTAAAGGCAAAGACTAGCGGACAAGCACCTTCAGGCAGGGAAAAGCTTTGTTTTGGCATCTAAAGAAAGGGATGAGGAATTTTAGAGTAACTCAAATCCTCAAAACTACTGAGTTCTGAGACTTGTATAGATGACATGGTATCTCTGGGTCCGTATTTCCTAGAATTGTAAAATCTTGTGTTTGGAAAATATCTTACACTTCATTCAGCTCCACTTGATTCTTAAATTAACTTTGCAATCTTCTTGCCAAGTGCTCCTGGCTGGTATTACATACTTCTTTGCCAGAGTATTCATTACCTCACAGAGCACAGATTTGGGAATGGAATGTTCCAACAGTAAACCAATTCCATCCCTCCATAGTCTAGTCAACTACCCATCCATTTATCCATTCTATCCTCAAACATTTACCAAAAATATTAGGCATTTCCCTCCACAGGAAAGTAACTGAGAAAGAAAAAAACTGCAGGACCAATCTCTGATGCACCTGAGAGCTTAGTCTTCTCAGTGTGAGACTGAAGCTTTTTCCCATTTCCACATGTTACAAGGGGAACAGAACGAGGAAGGTGGCATTGTTTTCTAAAGTCCCAGCTGTTTCTAAACATTAACCTTTGGTTGAGGGTGTTTATTCTGTCTAAAGTCTTTTTCATGATTATTTTTACATGATGAGTTTCATTGTGATATTTTCATAGATATATGTCATTATAAGTTTTTCTTATTGACCTCCCTCCAACTCTATCCTCCTGTCTCTCCACCCACCCACACCCTATGTGTTATATTACCTCACTTTCCTTAAGAACGTCTCCTTGATCTGTGTTGGAATTCCTCCAAAAACTAGAACTAGATCTACCCTATGACCTAGCTATGCCATTCCTGCGTGCATAACCCAAAGATTCTATTTCCTACTACAGACACACATGTTCCTCCATGTCCATTGTTTCTCCATTCACAATAGCTAGGACATGGAAACACCCTAGATGTCCCTCAACTGATGAATGGATAAAGAAAAGGTGATACATACAAGGCAAAAACCCAGCATAAAACCGGGGAACTGGGCAACAGGCCCCAACCTTAGCTAGAGAACTATTGGCAGTTGATTACTGATGGGTGAGGGAGAATTGATCTTAAGGGAGAGACTCTAGATAGGCTGACTAGAGCCCAGTGGATGAACTTGCACTGAGGGATGTTGGGGTATACTAACTTGACTTGATAGGTCTTAACATATATGACAAAATGCATGACATTCAGTGGGGGAGGCTATGGTGGGGGGATTGAAGCAGTGGTATAAAGATGATTAAGAAGTTGTATATGAAGTACACAAAAATTCAATTAAAATATGCATTAAAATTCTCAAAAATTCAATGAACTACTTTTAAAACAAAACAAAACAAAACAAAAAACCCTGTAGTGTCAACTACTTAAAGTTTTAACTTGAAACAAAGTTTATATTATATCCCACTACTGCTCCTGTGCCATAGGCTTTGCCTCCCTTGTTCACCTCCCCTTGAGAGAGAATCTCTTTCCACACTTTCACACTTTACTCATTTTCCTTACATACACCTAAAGGTGGAAACTGTGAATGTTCCCAGCCTTTTGGAATGCTGTCTTTGAGCCTAATCAGAGCATCTGTGATTATCCACAAGCAACCCACAAAATCCAGCCTGTTGATGCGTCCTCACTGAAGACCCAAGATGCCCAGCCATGCCCCTCAGATGCCATCCCACTTGTGTATAATTCTGCCTCATTTGTATACGGCATCACAATATGCTAGAGTGTATGCAGAGTGGAGGATTAACTGATGGTGGGACTCCATCTAAGCTTTTTGGGGGAAGTTGTCATCCATGCTTCAGTGGGACTTGGAATGCCTCAGTCAGGCTCATGTAGGTGAGCTTGATGGACTCATTGGTTCACCAAGCTGGACTTTGGTGGAATCATTTCTTTGCTTTGTCATTCCTAACCTAACTGAGGTGAGTGGACCTTTGATCATGTCACCCCAGGAAACAAAACAAAACAAAACAAAAACAGCACAACAGCATGACATGTCATTTCTCCTCTAATGTGTTCATTTCTTTTAGATTTCAGGAAAGACATTCATCTAACCCCTGCTGTGGGGGCATCTTTTCATCTTTTCATGATTCTCTCTCTCTCTCTCTCTCTCTCTCTCTCTCTCCCTCCCTCCCTCCCCCCCATCATTTTCTCCATGAGGCACATAGATTCAGATTCATCTTGAACCAAAGATACAAACCCTGATTTGATTATCAAAGTAATAGTTTATGTTCTTGTTCTTGTTAAAACTGAGGTAAAAAGACAGTTGTTTCCCTTTTTTGAGCCTGTACAATATATTGAACACTTTTTCATGTACACATATTAATTGAATTTTTGAGATTTTCACATAATATAGATTGATGATATTTAGATTCACTCCCCTCTCTGCATCCCCTCCCCACCACATGCAAGATCAAATCAGACAAAATCCCAACATAGACGGGGACGTCTACGGGTAAAGAATCCCAACACAACCTAAGGAACTTTTGAACATTGATGGCTGCTGGGACGGAGAGAGACAGTGCCTTACAGGGATGGGACACTTGGTGGGCTCAGTGGTTCAACCCATACCAAAGGACATTTGGGGACACACATCAGACTCTATGGGCCATATTATATGATATATGTGAGTTTTATACACTCAACAATAAGATGCTTTATTTCTGTAAAAGCTGTGTATGAAAAACCCTGTTCTTGTCTCTAGGATCTCAAGTCTGGCTAAGTCTCCTGATCAGAGCTCCACATGTTCCCCCTCAGATCAGTCCAAAAAGCCACTTCCTTGTTTTTCAGCCTCTGGGCTGCCTGGGTTGGGACTCCGATCTGCAGGTACCCTTCCTGCTGGTCGTACTGTGGCCAGTGGGGAAGCCCTTCTCCATTAGGGTTCCTGTGAACAGAAAAAAAAAGTTCAGCAAGGCAGCTGTGTGTCCCCACAGTGCTCTGAGATTTTTCAAAGATGCCCTGGCTTATCTCTGCCAAGAAGCCTGAGACCATCTACAGATGTGTAATTTTCTATCTCCTGGCGGATCCTGTTCATTTTTAGAAAATTCTTGTTATGCTTAGTTTAGATCCTAAATTTTTTCAAATCATGTGTTACAAGCTAATGTTAAGCTAAGATCTAATGGAAACTTTAGGGGGTGAAGCCTGGTTGGAGGAAGCAGGTGATCAGAGGCCTGTCTCGAGCAGTGTTGGGACTCCACACCTGTATCTCACTGCTTCCTGAATGCTGAGAGCTGAGGAGCTGTTTCCCACCATGAGCTCCACACTGTGATGGTCTGTTTCATCAAAAGCCCCAGATGAAAAGTTCAAGAGAAACTCCAAGCCAATATAAAGCTTTCATCATTTAAGTTTATGAACCTCAGTGATTTTATCACAGAAATTGGAGCTAACACATAAAATTGTTACGAGAAGTGAATCATTCTGTGGTTAACCTGATAATGTGCTACATAAGATTTTTCAATTGCTTTGTGAAGTAACTTGGAAATATTTAGAGAAATGTGCTGTGGAAAGCCAAGAATGTAGTGAGAGGCTCTGGGGCCTATAGGCAGTAAGACCATAGGAGAAGGCCTTCCTAAGCCTTTGAGAACCCATATCCACCAACAGATTCCTGGATGCTGAATATGGAACTTCAGGAATTAAGATTTTTCCTCCTTGGACTTGCTTTGGCCCAATTCCTCATTGCTACCTTCTGCTCATCCCTTGAGGAATAGGAATGTGTAGCCATTGTCATTGTATCTTGGAAACAGGTTGATCTTTTGTTTCCATGGACACTCACAGTAAGGAGCTTGCCTGAGATTTAAGTCTTTGCACTTGTATTTATAAGCAATGTTGGAAATGTTGAGAAGATTGACATTCTTGGAGATGAGCTTATGCAATAGACATGAACTCTGAGGTCATAGACAGAAAGTTATGATTCAGAACATAAATACTCCCCCAAAAGCTCATGTAGTGAGGTTTTGATTCCCATCTGGTAGTGCTACTAGGACATCACAGAAGATTTAGAATGATGTACAGGTTGTTAGAAGTTGGTCATGGGGACATGCCCATGAGGAGTATATTGGAGCCCTTGGCCCTATCATCTGTATCTACTTCCTGATCACCAGGAGGTATGGAGATTTGACCTACCCTATGCTCCCCACCCGAATGACCAAGTGACCAAGAATTGAAATCTCTGGATCTGTGAGCCCAAATATACATTCTATCCTTTAACTTGAACTATTTCAGAAATTTTGTTACAGCTACAAATCTGATCAACACAGCTCTCGTTGGTACAATTCTATGGCCAGAGGAACAAGAAGTTGAGCACTCAAACATTAGAAACTACTTGCCAATATGCATGATCCACCACATCACACCCCCATGTCTGGCCCATCATGGTCACCAGCCTCACCCATTCCGAGCAAAGTTGGCCCATAATTTCATCACCATCTTACTGAAGTTGATCTCCTCTTCTGAGGCACCATCTATGGAGAAAATGGAATAAGCTTCAACTTCTTTAAAAATTTGATTCACAAAGCAGCAGCAACAGAACCTGGGAGCTTTTTAGAATCACAGTTTGCCATGGCCAAACTACCCTGAATGCAGCCAGTCATTTCTGATCCCAAAAACTAAGTGAGGTCAGGCCTGGTTAATACTTAGATAGAAAAAAATGCAAAGCCTTGGCTGTGATTACACACTTACTGAGTCAGAAATTTGTCTTTTAAGATCTTGGTGAGTAGGCCCATATTTTAAACTTAAGATAACTTTATAAGCTGTCTGCTTTTCTTGCCCATATTCACCTGCCTGGCACTTTCTTCTTATGGCCCAATGCCAACAATACTCATGTTCCTCTCAGCAGGGTTGCTGAGTGAGTTTTAAATATTTTCTCAGTCTCCCTCACAAAAAACCATTTCATAGAATCTGAAAATAATCAAAACCACAGAGATCCTAAGGAGTCACCCAGCATGGAGACAGATGCTATGTGTCTTGAGAGACACGAGGTAAGTCACAAGTTATATACAGCTATTGAATATTAAGGAATTGAAGACCTTGTGAAAGGTCCTTTAAATATCACATTTAAATATATGATATATATTAACTATAAATTGACAGATGTACAGAAACATGAACATCTTGTTCAACATTAGCAAAATTTCCAAACTTTTCCTCCTGTTTCAATATGGTCTAAAGGGAAGACTATCAGGCAGTGGAATTCTTGCCCTAAAGTAGAGTTTCTGTGGGTGACCTACTACCTCTTTTACTGGAGTCACCAGGCAGGTTTCTGAATGACTCTGGCTGGGAATACATAAACATAATCCTCCATCATGTGTGTTAAAACAAGAGAAAGATTGGGAACTACCCAATGTAGTTGAACCCTGTCACAATATCAAGAAAGTAAGTTTATAAGAGAAAGAAAAACTTGATCAAGATCATCAAATCAAGACCCAAACCCAGGGCTCCTATCTTAAAAGTCCACTGTTGGGGACTCCTGCTGTGTAAAGTAGCAGTTTCTCCATGTCCGGAAAGCCCACGGGCTCAGATTCAAATGCAGAGACTCATTTTTCAGCAGGGTGCCTTCCCAGCATCTTCCTGACTCATCTTTTGAAGCAGCCCACAGAAACACCCGTCACAAGATACATGTTCTCTGGCACAGGAGCTACCAGGTTTTAATCAGGCGTTGTTTGATAGCCTGATAGAAGCCCACTGCCCTATGTAAATGAGGCATCCTAAAAGTACCTATCAGCTAAGGTTTTACTACCACCCCCATAGTATAAATATCCTGGTTTCCCCCCAATTAATTGGAGCTGGATCACCAAGACTTGGAGCCAAGCTAAGTCACTGAATAAAAGGGCTGTACCACTGACTGAGCTGAGTTCTGTGTCTTACTGCCTACGATCCAGCCTCCCCAGGGGGCGCTATCCTTCCATCATCGACTCACGGAAATCCAGCTTTAGCCATCCCGCACCTCTCCTCATGACCCGGCAGCTGATGGGCCCGGAACTCAGAGAGAGAGTGCACGGGTGAAATTGGGATGGAACCCGACCGGGCCAGCCCCGGTAGCAGAGACCCACGGCAACACGGTGCGGGACCCGCGTGCACCCCAGTGACGTGTGGGAGACCGGCGCCACGCCCAGCAGCTGGTGCCCCGAGATCCCCGCACACCCATATCACAGCGGAGAAGCAGCGGAGAAGCAGGGGCCTGCCAGCAACGCAGAGCAGATGTGCCGCGGGACCCGCCGCCTTCCCAGGTGCGCACAGGGGACCGGTGCCACGCTAGCAGCTGGCGCCCTGAGATCCCTGTGCACCCCATATCTGGCGCCCAACGTGGGGCCTCTGAACTTCGTGCCAGCGAGCAGCTGGCACAGGAGAGAAGCAAATCTTTTTTGTCTTTTCTTTCATCTCCCATCAAGAGACTAAAAAGGCAGCTGTACCCCCAAGCCTCCCCACTAGTGGGGCCTTTCTCCTTTCTCTTTTCTCTTTTCTCCTTCTAAAGTAAACTTCTCTGGTCACTTTTGTTATCCTGCCCCCCCAGGGCATTCAAGCCACAGCTAAAACCAGTTAGGTGAGAATTTAAATTAACTAGCCCCTGCAGAGCACCTGGCCGAACAAAGGAT